CCTTGAATAAGTGTATTTCAAATTTGATGTATAACTGAAAAATAAATCATTTGATGCGTTATTTTAAACAGCTTTATGAAAAGTGAAAAAGAACAAATAAGAAATAAAAGTAAAAGTCAGTCACACTGCTTGATTGAGTTTTTCTTTATGAAAAATGTAATGTGCAAAATCATTTATACCCTTTAGCACCGGCTTTAAAATTAATAAACACAGATTAGCACTTAAAGTACAGGCACCTGTCATTTTTTACATCAGTCGTCGCCTTTCACTTTATGCCCTTCTGTGCGCCCGAAAACAACGGCAACAAAAATGGTAAAGCATCACTAAACATATTAAATTACAGATAATAAAGATACATTTTGATTACAATGTAGTTTTATCGGAACGCCTAAAATTGAAAGGCGGCGAATGTCAAAAATTGTATTTAAAATTTGAAATTGATCTAATTGATATAAACTTTTTTTCTTCAAATACTTTTCATTGATTTTTTATGAAGATATCCGTTATCAAAATGCAACCTTAATACTTACGAGTATCTACAATAAAATGACAAAATACAATCATTTATTTTAGGATATATTTTTAATTTTTATACTTAAGTAATTAAAAGAAAACAAGTACTTTCATGATATTTATTATAAAATATTGAAAGCAAATCTTTTATATGCTTTCTAGTTTCTACCTATCTGTAAATTTCAGAAATTGGCTGTGCTTCGTTTAGTTAATGTAAGATAAAGCTAAGTCGTTCTCGATCGCTTTAAACTAATTCTAATGTTATTGTCGATTTCTTGCATAAAATTTTATGTTTGAAAGTCAACACGTATAGCCGAACAATATGTTTTAGTAATACTATATTTTTCCATGGAAAGATATATGTGGTGCTATATTACTCCCTTGGAAAGAACGACGTGTTTTACTTAATAAAATAGAAAATAAATAATATAAATTCTGTATAAAATTTCATTTTTCAAGAAATATGTATTATAACCTTTTAAACATTGTCATCGTTTTTACACATTACAAAGTGAAATTATATTTTGTACGCTATGTCTTCACTAATGACTACTTTCTTCTATTTTGAAGTCAAATTATACAGTGGTTATCTACCGTGTGCATATAAGTAGTGTTACACTAAGGGTTTAACAATTTTGTTAATATCGTTATCAGCAGTTCTAAAAAAAAAACAATGTGAATGTATTTATGATAATGACTCAGATAAATAATATTTATGAATAAAATTATTTTTATCACGCAAACATTCTTTTCTGTATTTTTATCTTGATTTCCGAATAATTATCTCACGCAGCAATTTAACAATTATAACAAAATCAGTATATTATGATAGGTCATTTTGCATTGGGTAAATTATGTCTTTGGATTGACAATATTTACTGTTATGCGCTGCCATTTGATATTTATATGAAAATCATTCATAGCCAACATGTTATTTTTTTATTGCGTCTTTTGTCACATGAGAATAGAATATCGTGTTTATTATGTACGTAATCAAATTACATGATAACAAAATAATCATCACTGTTCAAATAAAAAGAAATACATGTCAAATCAAGACTGATATGATTCTCGTGACAATATACCAAAAACTTGAAAGGAAAATTAAAAAATGAAAAGAAACATACTTACTTCAATTTGACATATGTCTTTTCACAGCTTTTCCAATTGTTATAATTATATGTTTGCAAATGAGAACATGTGTCCGTGGAACGCTCAAAATATTATAATCTGCTATTTCATATACATTTGTGGCTTTTTTCGCAACATTCATTTCTGCTGGCAGTTGACTCATAATTTTTTTTTCTAACAGGTATATTGAAGGGGAAAAAACTTTTTTTATATCATATCGCTTTAACAATATATTTCTTAAAGTATGTGGACAAAAATAGAGATTACACTGAAAGATTATCTCTTTGTTATTTTTTTTAAATTCGTATGCAAGACAATCTCATCAAAATATTTTGGCCGTAGAGATTTCATAAATAAATTTCGTTAAAAAACACAATATTCATAGTCCAACTGCTTTCACAACATTTGTCTGATTTTATTGCAGATTCGACTTTGTACAAATTTGAGTCTACTTCACAGAAATATTAGACTCGAAGCTGTAGCCCAAGAAATACATCCGTGAGATTTCCGCGTCACATGGTCGCTTTTAAGACCAGAGATTTTTCTTTCTTTCTTTCTGTATATAAAGTGTATACAATTTCTTAAAGAAAACACACAATATTTTAAGTCGAACTGGTTAAACACCATTTGTCTGATTTCCTTACGGATTAAATTTTATACAAATTTGGCGGGTCTTTTAAGTTTGTCTTTTGACGTCTTATCTGTGATATGCAGGCTTCATAACCTCTGATCTTCTTTCAAAATTCCATTTTATTTAGTTCCGCCCATTGTTTTCTCGTTTAGGGCACACGCATTTTTTTACTTGGGGACCATATGCCGCTTTTCATGGAATGACACTTACGTGTCACATTGAAGATTCCATGATAACCGCCATATGAAAACATCTGCGGATGTTTCAAAATTCTAAATTGTACCAGTTCATGTTAAATGTTGAATTCTGCTTAAGCCTGTGCTAGGGGGCGTGGATGGTAGTTTGCACTTGACAGTAATGTCCATGAACAGGCTCAATCAAACCGAGCCTGCAACATTTTTAATATTGCCGTGTTGGGCTTTCTTTAGGGATTCTTATTTTCTCTATTCTTTACATACATATAAGTCTGGAAGCTCTATCACAAGAAATACATCCGTATGACTCTCCGCATGGCGTTGCCGTTTTTTATGACCGGTGATTTATTCTTTCGGTATATAAAGTGTATAAAAATTGGTAAAAACACAGTAAACTAAGTTCAACTGGTTAGACACCACTTCTCTGATTTCGTTGCGTATTCGATTTTGTACAAATTCGGAGGGTCTAATTAACAGAAACTGACATAATGCACAGTAAGCCTGGGTAAAATGAACTTTAAAAAGAAGTTGTAGATATATCTAAACAATTAATTTAAAGTCTTGTCAACAGCAATATAAGCTCGAAAAGCCTTACCAAAGCAAATGTAGTGAGAGATTTCCGCGCAGAATGTCGTATTTTAACCCGGCGATTTCTAATGGAAAGTGTATGCATTTTCGTCAAAAAAAATACAATTTTCTTAGGCAAACTGCTTATACACCATATGTGTCATTTCATTTCAAATTCGATTGTGTACAAATTTGGATGAACTACTTTACAGAAATATAAGACTGAAAGCTCTAACCAAAGACATACGGCTGTTAGAGTTCCGCGTGGCATGGTCTTTTTGATGACCGGCGATTTGTTTCTATCTGTATACAAAATGCATAAATTTTCGACAAAATCATAATATTCTATGTCCAACTGCTTATACACCATTTGTCTGATTTCGTTGCGGATTCGAGTTGGTACAATTTGGATGGTATTGAAATGTAAGGCTCGAAGCTCTAGCTTAACAAATACATCCGTGAGATTTCCGCGTGGCATGGTCGTTTTTATGACCGGCGATTAGTTCTCTTTGTGTATAAAGTGCATAAATGTCCGTATAAACACACTTTTCTAAGTCAACCTGGTTACGTTATATTTGCCTCACTGCGTTGCGGATTCGATTTTGTACAAATCTGGAGGGTCTACTTTACAGAAATATAATATTTAAAGCTCTAACCAAAGAAATACATAGTGAGACTTCCGCGTGGCCTGGTCGTTTTATGACCGGCGAATTGTTCTTCCTGTATTTTAAATGCAAATATAAAAATTATAATATTCTAGTGCAACTGATATAACATCAATCGTCTGATTTCGTTGCGGATTCAAATTTATACAAATTTGGATGGCCCACTTTACGGAAATATAAGAATCGACGCTCTAGCTTAAGAGAAACATCAATAAGAACTCTGTATGTCATGGTCGTGTTTATGACCGACGATTTGTCCATTCCTTCCTTGGACCTCAACACCATGGTAACAAAAACTGAAGCGGATATCTATATCATTTCAATTATCACAAAGCATTTTCCTTGCAACTGTGAAAATGTAATTAAGTGGTGAGACAATAGGCCGCTTATATCATCGATTTGTCTTTCTTATGAGTTAATTTGTATGTTGAAAGGTTTAAAATAAACAAGCTCAATCGAATCGAACCAGTTACATTTTTAATTTTACCGCATATATCTATATTTATTTACTACATATAAGATTCTTGAAATTTGTTTTATGTAAACCTAGATATACTGATTCTGGCTGTTAAAATACGTTTAGGCCGGGGTTGAAAAACGTAGACTGATATAAGGTGAGCTTTCAGTAATTTATAGCGTTGAGATTCCCTTTAAGTCTAACAATTAATTGACATTATATAAACATGAAAGTCTTTGAAAACGTAAGAAAGTTAAATATGGGACAATAACACTTCAAAATATTTACTGAAGCCTGTTTAACAGATACAATATAAAAATATACAATTGTAAGTTTGCTTTGATTGCTTTGTACACGAGCCTATTAAAAATCAATGAAGTCTGCTGAACAATGATTGTCTAATTTACAGGTAAACGGCGTACAGTTTATTTGCAAAGTGTCACTTAACATCTCAATCAACTGCGTTTTTATATCCAATAATAATTTTGAGCGATTATCTAAGATGATAAGGTATATAAATAAAACGATGAAATAACATGTTGTGAACTCAAAATGACGAACATTTCTTTGTTTTTATTTAGTTTTAAACTAAAGTCTTTGAGTAAATAGTGTAATAAATCCCCGTGTAACTTCATTATAATCACGTCATATGATACACGTTTGACAAAAAAGTAAAGTTTCTTTTGAAAGGAACTTTAAGGCCAAAACACAGAATGCAACTAATGTGTTGCATTTCTTTTTTCATTTATTGTTTATTATCATTGTTTTAAAAAATCATGTGCCCATTTTAGATATATATACTTTGGAAGTAATAATTTGACATATAACCAAGACAATTGTTAATTTTTAAATGAAATTTATTTTTATTCTACAAACATCTAATGTGTAATAAGAAGGTTTAATTTTAGATCTTGCCTAATCTCATCATATCTCCTGTATTTTCGTAAGTCAAGTATGTTTTATAAACTTCATCCAACACAGGAAATCCTAGATTTAGACAAGCAAATGATACAGGTATTATATTTTATTTAACGTTAATACATTAATATAGTCTATACCCATAATGATTAAGTGTCAAGTGAAAAATTAGTTCACTTCTTTCTTTGCTTAAAGTTCAAATTCAAAAAACAAAAATATTATTCCTCCAAATTACACACTCGTCTTAAACAGTCTTTGAAAAGAAAAACAAAAAAGGACGAAGTTTGCACGCAATATATGACAATTCAAACAGTCACACCAATTTTCAAACCGATCATATACCTGAAAAATATAACATGAAATAAATTGTTTACCCCCTGGCGATAACAACACATGTACAACTGCAAGTAATGCAATAGGATAAAAAGCTTTATCGTGTTATTATTTTACAGTTTGTAATGCATTGTATTAAAACAGTAAGAACATATAAATGTTTCAATGAAGACAATGCTCTTTTTAAAACTATTCAAAAGTATTTTAAAAGTATTCATTTGTATTACTGCATATTTACCTGCAAACTTTTGATTGGCAACTTTACATAATCGCCTCCTTTATTGACAAGGTAACAGGAAGTGCAAGCACGATAAATGCCAAAGTTGCTGACACACCTTTAAAAAGTGTTTAAACAAATTAAACAACACCTGCAATAATAATTACAAACGAAATCGCCCAATGTGAATTGTTTTCCCTTTCTCATATCCAATACATATCCAACCTTTTAAAAAATATTTATCTTATGGACCGTTACTGTGGATGATAACAGCAATGAGTACGCTCAATATAAAGCTCTTTGTAATAATATTGTCGCAATGAAAAAGTTTTCAAAATTATCGGTTTTCCATACTTAAAATTGAACCAGCGGACATTATATTCCAAAAGGGAAATGCTTATTTTGACAGCAGGAGAAGTATTTTTTCGTAGCGTTACAATTCCCTTTGTTACAAATTTGATAATTAAACAATACCAGGGATTCCCTATCAAATTATAATACTGTTTAAATACAAAGTGTTGAGAGTTTGTGAATACATTTATTTAACATATCGCAACTATTTCATATAAAAGGAATAATAGTCTGCGTTTGCATACACAAATATGTTTATGTTCTAGATATCTGATATCACAAATGACAATTACACGTTTAAATTCAAAAGGCATGTCCATATAACTTTGCATACCTGCGTTTTTGTCTGCAGCGATACACTTGTCAGCATTCATCTTGAATCCGTCACTGCATTTACACTTGTGTGTTGTGGAGTCGCACTCAGCATGACCTATAGAGCTGCATTCGGTTCCTTGTACTGTACAATCCGTACTATCGACCTCTTAAAAACAAAACGTTAAATTAAACAACAGACCAATTAACAAATAAAGTGATTTTACTTGTTTCTGACAAATTTTTCTTGGATATAAGCCAGGATTTCCTACTGTTTAATGCTAGACAAACGTGTCTTACAACCCTCCTTAGCGTCTTTAATGATAAATTGTGTTCTTATGTTGCAATGTAAATAAAGTTGTAAATGCATTTTCAACTATACATGTTATAAGAAAATAAGTGCTGAACACAATAATTATTATTCAGCACAATAATTATCAGCTTTCATAATGACGGCACAATTGTCTGTTGTTTGCCTACTATTTAAGTTTTGTCAGATGTGTTTGAAGGAGACAAATATATATGAGATCGCCGTTTTTTCGGACGTCTTATTGACGACGTTTTCAAATACATAGGTTGCAACTACATACCATCAAATTTTGATTACGCATGTTTCCAATGACATTTTTCGGGTTTTACAGCAAGCCTCGGCAAATTGTGAACAAGATCCATTTTTTTTAATCTTTGGTGTGTAATAAAATTTCAACGTACGTCGCGATTTTGAGCTATTTGTTTTGACGTTATTTAAGGCGGCCTGAGACGGTTCTAGTTGCTATTATATCAGTAATATCTTCAATTCAAAGAAAGAAACATCAAAGTACGCCTGGTATAAATTTTATGAAAAACAGCATGGATGCTATCCGAATAATAAAAGAATTTTGTGTAACTCTGAATCATCCATCGTATTAAATCGATAAAAGCTGTTTGTAAGTTTTAATTTTGTAAATTGATGAATTTATAAAGTTTATAACAGAGATCAATGTTACGCGACAAGTGCAGTATCTTATTGAAAGCACAAATTCAGACATGTAATTTAACGTACATAGGTTATTTATCCAAAGAAATTTTGAAACTGATTCGAACGAAGCCTTTTGATACTTGAATTATGTAAGATTGTCTTCCGCAAGCAAATGAAATTTCTATATTGCTTAAATTTTTCTAACATCGGTATCGTAATATTTTTTTGTGAAATTTTTAAATCATTTTCTTTCATAAAATGTTATTATCAATTACTATTCCCAAATAAAAAGAAATATATACAATGTAATCTAAAATCGGCATGTTACATATTCAAATCATTGTTCTAAACTATTTGACAATGTGTATTCATTTATCTAATTGAGCAAAAGTGCTAACTATTGGATCTTATATGTCTAATTTACCTTAATAGAGAAATGCAAATCAGTAAAAAAAACCTGCAAACCCAGGTCAGATTCGAACTAGCGACCATCAGTTTACAAGCAAATGCTGGAAAAATTTGACATTTAAAATCTAGTACATTTGCTTTGTTGAATAGTGTTGTGAGTGTTACTTATCTTAACACATGTACTTCCGTCATTAGTATCTTCACCATAGCCGGTGTCACATTTACATTTTTGTGTAGTGGCACATGCAGAGTGTGTGATAGCATTACACTCACTTCCTCCATTAGGACACACCACTTCAGATACTTTCTCTGAATCAAAATTCAATTACACTATATTTCTCCTCCGTGTAACACAATATGTACATATGTTTTCTCATATCACATACAAATACTACGTATTGATTATCTATTATTATATGTAAAGACATGATCGTTAATGCACAGTCAAACCTGTGTGACGACATTCCATGCATTTTTATATGAATCAAATAGAAGAAGCATTACAAGAACTCAATATTATTGTGTTTGATCAAAAAACGAATCATCCAAATGACTTTGCCACAAAGAAATGTTTCAATAACGGGAAACAAAGGGTTTAATAATTCTGATTTTTTTGTTTTATGTTATTGGCCCGTGCTTTGATCCTTAAAAAGAACAAGACTTATTAACAGTCGTAGCTAATGTAATTAATAATAGTGAAAATTGAAGAAATTGCATATTTGTTTCAATAATAACTATGTCAAATAAAGATTATTTTGGGTCTAACAGGTGTTTCTTTAATAACTGTTATCGTGCGGTCTATTTGCTATGGTGTTACAAGTATGCAAAATTGCGAACTCGAAATGTTTCATTTCGGTTGATTGATATTTTTAAAATGTTAACCTTTGATATTAGGGAACTATCAATAATTATGTCAAACATGTATTAAGCTGTTTTCTTAATAGTCTCTCTACAAATTCTCTGGCAAGGCAGCAAAAGTATCAAAATTATAATTATATTTTGTATTCATATTAACACTGTTAAAGTCCTTTTATTTCTTAAGCATTTTGTAAAGGTCATTGTTTTCTACTTACTTATTTCTACGCATGTACTCCCGTCTGTGCTATCTTCCTTAAAGCCAGCAATACACTTACATTTCAGACTTGGGACGTCACATGCTGAATTTGCAATAGTATTACACTCAGTCCCATCTTTACTACACACCTCTGCAGATACTTTGCCTGTATCGAAATTCAAAACAAATAAACATTTCCGAATCTAAGTAAGAGTAAGAAGGTGTTATGCAGTGGAAACACATGAAAGTATTTACCATAGCATTGAACCATATTGAAATAGTGAGCACATTGCTGTATAAATATCTAAATCAAATTGTGATTCAAGACTTGTAAGGGTATGAGATAAAATTGTAGAATTCACATGCTGATAAAAATAAAATGAGAATATAAGCAATTGCAAGCAAAAGTCTGTTTAAATGAACGGGGCTTATTTTTGATATCAGGTTACTGACCTGATATCAAAAGTAATTATCAGGCAAATGTAATCGGGCGGTTTCCATAGCAGTTGCGTGATAAAATCAAGCATATCATTTTTATTAGTACATGTTATATCGAAATAACTTATATTAACAATTAACTCATGTTTTGACCATAATTATTATATCTTTCCTCAACAAATATTTGTTTCTTTTTTTCTCATTGAAAAACAAAACAACAGCAGCAACAAACTGTACCAACATACCAATTTTAATTTAGTATTTCTTCTCAAATAACGGTTATGAAATTGTTGCAAAAATAAATTTCCCCTTTCGACAATAACACGATGAATCTAGACATTACATTTAATTTCAAAAGTGTTACTTACCTGCACTGCAAATGTGACCATTTAGTACAAGAAATGTAAGTATCATCAATAATCCAAGCCAGTGTATGCTACCCATGGCTTCGATTTATGAAGACAAAGTCTGCAATAATCACAATGTTTGAAAATTAACAAAGTGAAATCTGTGGTGGATTCATAGAAATCGGCTAAAAAGTTCATGAACTACAAAATTCCCATTGTCTTTATAATCGATTTGATTGAAATGTTTTATTTCCATTGCTTGTTCTTTGACTATAAAAAGGAAAATTCTCTATAATATCATTCTGAACGATTCGTATTAATTAAACTGCATTTTGTAATTTTCATAATTTTGCTTGCAATGTTTGATTAATAAGATAAACATTGCCGTCATGAATACATATTAAAAATGACATTCCGAACACAGTGCAAACTAAAGAAAAGAAAAACTCAAAACGTTACCTTATCGACCATAGTTTCCATAGGAAAACTTTGATACATAAACTATTTATTATAAAAATACATCATATGTATCTAAATAATGAGCAATAATAATAATTATAATAGTAATAATAATATAATAATAATATTAAGAAATGAGCAAAAAGCCTTACATTCTCCAGTTTCACATGGGTGTTCACTGTGTTCGAACATCATCATTAATTTGCTTTATCTTATTAACAAACACAGTGATATTGTCAAGCTTTTTAAAATACCAGTGGAAAGAAAATTAATAAATATAGTGAACATTGACATAATAACAATATAAAAAGGCAAATTAAAACACTTTTGAAGTTGATGAAATGCCTTGAACCATTAAGATAAGAGACCATTTCACCCTGGTATAATTATATCCTGAATAGAATAAATACAAACGTTCAAATGCATGTTTTCCCCTCAAAATTGTAACCCTTTGATTAAAAGCAAACCCATAAAAATAAGAAAATTTGTTAAATGTTAAACAGTAATTTAAAACTGCCTATTGAATAAAGAAACGATATACGAGTATTTTTCAAGAATTGCTTTTAATTATTATCACAAGAACAATCTAAATCTTACGTAGTAAATAAACATTTTATGTCTTAAAGAGATATAACAAATATACAGAGTAAATCAAAGTACGGCCTAGGTACGTCCCCGTCGCAACGATAGTACCTAGTGAATGCAACCTACCACCCAGGACCCTTCTCCCAAGCTTTAGCTATTTTAAATGAAAATGGTAAAAAAATTATATATTCTTTTGTCGTTAATTGGAAATAAAAGTAAGTGAGTGAAGGCAAAAAAAATCCTCAACAAACAATCAAATAAACAAACAAAAATAATTATAATGAAAAAAAATATCTTCATACTTTTTATTTTCGAAAAAAGGTAAATATATTATAAATCAAAATAACCTAGTATGTAACTTACATCTTACAAACTTATAGGCTATACTTCCAATTCACTCTTAAAATTTACTAATTTGCCTATCAATTTTATACCAGATGAACTATTTGAACGTAGCCCAAGGTATTCAATTAAAGGCACGAAAAGGCATATGATAGATACTAAACCGAAGACAACATTAAATTTTGAATCTTATCTCATATTTAAAGTACTGATCAATCGTAAGTTCAAAACTAATCTTAAATGAAATGTTCTGAATTTAATTTCTTTCTTCATTACATTTTTTACTTGTCTACTTGGTTACAGCGTTGTTGCACACATAGTATAATTGTACCCGTTATTTCTTTATAAAAATTCACACGTTTGTTTTATGATATCTCTTTCTTTATGTAAACTGATCATTACAAAAAAATTCATGAAAACTGTAAACTTACCTTTTTTCATGTACGGTCCACGGCAAGTAACTATGCATATTTGTACAGTGAAACTTCCTTTTATAGTGTATATAATGCCTTCTAATAGCAACACGAATAAACAAAACATTTTAATCGTCAATATATTTAATATATGTCTTATTAGAATTACTGATCCGCCCATTTGCTGTCACGTGTACACGTAGGTATGCGGTGGGCATTATTATATCTGTACAAGGAAACAGTTTTACAGGGTCTACCATTTAAAAGTATAATGTTCATTAATAAAAAGTGATATCGTTGAAGGATTAAAGCTAAGGATTCGAATGAGTAAAACCTAAAATAAATCAAGCAACTAGTAAGCAATTACTTTTTGAATACAGTACATCTTCATTTAATAACAAAGAAAATAATAATTTTCAAAGTCAGACCCTTTTAAATTATGATGACAATAAATTGAATTAAATTTCAACGTTTCAAAATAAGTTAGCCAATGAAAGGTTGTTTTTAAATTGCATCATAGTTTGGGGACCTTTGTGTTGAAAATGTGTTAGAGTTAACTCGTATACTTACACATGCACATTGCGTTAACTGGAGCACAGGTGTTAGTTGTTCGCACTCCAAAGCATCCCCATTGATTGGCTTATTTTGTCTGGGGTTTACTTATTGTGACTAGCGATAGGAATATCATATTCAGATGCCCGTTTATTGTTTACTTTTTTGTGTTCTTTCGTATTCTGACGACAGGGAACGTGTTGTTGCCTATGCGACAAAAGAAAAGAGAAAGAACATCAAAACACTCGGTAATATGTTTTATAGTCAGGGCTACGCCCCGTCGAACAAATCAAATAGCCTCGTGTTTCGATGCTCTTTCTATTACTTATTGTATTTTTTTTGTATTTTTTGTATGTTTATTGAAAGTGTGAAAAATATATATATTATCTATTTACAAAGAAAAGATACTCTGCTGGGATTTTCGGAATAGATTGTTATTTATTATGAAGGACACAGAACATGTTTCTTTTGAGATGATTATGATTTTCCAGTTCCGTTTCGAATAGCGTCAAACCAGGGTCTTTCAAATAGAAAGACCCTGGTCAAACCTTCCCGATGATATAAACTTATAACTATTACCTGCGAACTAATTTTGTTAGGAAATTATAATAAAAATAATGTTACCATAATTACAAGATTATTCCTTAAATTGCATTAATGGTGATTTAAATATTTTACCGATTACGCAATTTCAGCATGTTTTGTTTTTCATTTAGGTCGCTTCTTGACCGGATGTTCCATTCTGCTATATCTGTTAATAGTAAAAGGCGTCTTGACAGTCGTGTGACTCATATAAGGAGCTTAAAATGACCAATGACCAAGAAGCTTATAGCTTCCAACTTTCCATTCTGCTATATCTGTTAATAGTAAAAGGCGTCTTGACAGTCGTGTGACTCATATAAGGAGCTTAAAATGACCAATGACCAAGAAGCTTATAGCTTCCAACACACTCAAACTAAAATAAACTTGTTTAAAGTAAACTGAAATGACCAGTGAAAATCGTTCCATAATTCATCCCTAAGAATAATTATGGAATGACTTCGGCCGCGATATTCGAAATTCTCTAACACTCAACAGGTTTAATCAATATTTATAAACTATATAAAGAACAAACAGTTCCGAAATATTTTCATTGCCAGAGATCCTTATCTATATTGCAGACAGGTTTAAGAAATCATTAAAGTAAATTAAATAACGATTTTTTTGTAATAACAATTTTCGTGAAGATCCGTTTTGTCAATGTGATACGGTGATAGAAAATGCCGGTCATTACTTTTTAAATGAAATCGTTACGCTGGACAACATAAAATATATATTCACTATCGAAAAACACAAAGGAATGGTTAACAATAGAATATGAAGATAACGCTTCTTTCTCGAATCAGTCCAAAAACTTTATTAACGTAACCATCGTTTTGATAATGATTGACTTTACATATTGTTCTCGTTTTCATTCGAAAGTCTTTCATTTATGTAGGCTAATTTGCTCTATTCTAATGTACTTTAATATCAAACATTCACGAACTCTCATTCCCTAAAAACAACTACAATTATTCTAAAAATCACTGATGAAGTGATATCAGTATGGCAACCTGTGGATGGATCGCACATTTAAATCAGTATTGCACATTAAATGAATATCAAATGAACTGTAAACATTTTATTATTATATTCATGTTAAAAGTAATCAGTGTTGCCCTTAACGTTTATATATATATATATATATATATATATATATATATATATATATATATATATATATATATATATATATATATATATATATATATAATATTAACTTTTGGGAAGTGCTTAATCTTATGTTTCTGAAAATTGTTGCCCAACCCATTTTTCTTTTGTTGTATACTTTTTATCATTTGAATAGTATTTATAATGTATTTGCTGCAAAAAATTGTTTAAACTAAGGATAGAAAAAAATCAAATGTTTATTTAACTTCAATGCAAAAATGTGTTTTGTCCAAAAGCAAAACAAGGCCTCTTCATGGAGACAACGTGTGTTACACATGATTTATTTCTGGTCCGGTTCCCCGATAATGGGTTTCTACCATCATGACATGCAATTTAGACAGTTGTACAGTTTACTATTTGTATACGGAGATCAGAAAACAATTATATTTCCATTTGACGAAAATAGCAATAAATGATAAGCTGATGTATGAGAATGATTTAATGCACAGTGTACTTTAGTCGTATACAAAAACGCGCCATTCCACAGTAATTCATATGTCTTTTTCAAAATTATATAAGCCTCGCCTGCTTCGAAAGTTCACTGGCACTTTAAAGCTTTTAACAAACACCATTAATTACTTAAATGTGATTAGCATAACCACGTTTTTAATAGAAATTATTATAAATTTTAATATTGTTTTTTTAACTATTCATACAACTTTTTATTAAAAGCTATTTTTTTGTTAAGGTGTAGATCTCCAAAGACATCTCAAAGTAATTATAAGTAATATCATATTTCAATAAAATGACATCATATACATAATGATCATATGATTTACAAAAAATAATTAAACGCAGCTATTTTAATGATTGACAGTGTGCTAAAACAACTAGATTTCCATTATATGTAGATTTAGTTATCTAGATGATTCAGTTAAAGTCAGTCTATATTTTGAGACGATTTGTAAATCTTCATAAAGTAGTTAAATTGGTTTCTTTTAACAATTCTTTTAAAGCCAATTACTTCAATTAAAGTCACATTCACTTTATTTGTAAAGCAACTAATCCCGATTTGATGTTTGTCAAACATTGTTCGTGCAAAGAGATCTAAAAAGTTATCTCAATCATCAACATAATGAAGAGTTAAAGCTAAATAATTATATTCAAAGACAGAAATCTTAGACTGTTAAATGAAAAGTTTAAATCAAGTCAATAACTTTTTGAAATGTTATCTCATTCCAAACCTAAAATTTGTATTAAGCCACAAGTTGTTTGACTGCGAAAGATTAAATTGTCACATTCTTCGTTATTCGTAATATAGACTGATTGCCATGAAGTCAACTGTTAGCAATAATATAATACTTAAGTATACATGATAAAATAATTTAATAAAATATTTTATGACAATGTATATGTTGCAAAATTTGATAACCTTTAATTCAATTATACAATCAAGATTTCAGATTGAAAACTAAAACTATGTTCTCACTTTACATATTTCATGGTCACCGTGTCTTAAAAAGAGCAAAAATGATAAGAAAACAGTCTCTTTTCACTATATATACACCTACGCTTATAATCAAACCTTAACTCCAATTTAGTAAGTAATTGACCTTTTCTTCTCCCAGTTTGCCTGTCCTCCCCTTTTGATGCCCGTTGGATACGTTTGCTATTGGGCATTGTTAAACTACATTTAGCGAATGGTATTTTCTTAGTTATATCTTTTAATCAAATTTTATAAAAGTATTTTAAGTATTTTACTTTTAAGTGTTAAATTATCAATTTTAAAGATAAACCTTTAGCTATTTTGATTATATAAGTACCTAATAGTATTATAAACATGTGGAATGATTTATTTTGCGGAAAGATACATTCTATTTAAGTTGTAATAATTGCCCTGGTTATTAATGGAATTAAATATACCGATATTGTTTTGTACTTAATAAGTTTAAAAAAATAAAGTCCAATGTTATAAAAAGGCGTTTTAATTTGTCAAGGCAACATGGAGGCACTGTAAAATATCATCATTGGGGAGGGCTACAAAGTACATGTCATAATCGTCTTTCCAGAAAGTGCCTTTAAGGCATAGATATACTACTACCTTAATTTCCTTCTATTGGAATGGAGGTATTCCGTAGCAACTGCATATTGAGAGCTCCTTATATTAAAATAAGTTGATGTTTAATCTTTTAGATAAAGCCCGATAAACCACTTAAAATGAATTGATTGTTTTGATTAGGTTTAATTAAGACCTCCGCGAATGTCTTTTTATAGACATATAGTTAGTGTATCTATAGAATGTTAGTAAGTTCGACTTGAAAGTCTTTGAAGAATTCCTATAACTAATGTTAATACCGACAACACTATAATTAATACAATTAATTGAAGATCGTCTCTAAGATTAAAATGTACAAAATGTAATTTTAATCAATTTACAGCTTAAATTGAAAGTTTCGGACTTTGAGATAAGCATTTGTGAGTAATATATGTAGCTTTCTACTGTGCCATCACTACGATGATATGTAAACATGTTTTAAATGCGCTTGAAACAATCATTAAAGATTTGTTATCATTCGGTTTAGCTGTTTTAAAGAAATCAACATTGAAATTCGTACCTATGATTTATATTATTAATGCTAGAACTACCCGGGAATAATATATTGACCTGTATATGAAAGGAAAAAAGTCATTAAAACAAGTCACAGGATTAATTTACTTCTTTTATATTGTAAATCTTTTTTTTCCTTTCGATATCTTCTGTCTTACGACAAGGTCACATATTTTGAAAACACAAGCGTCTTTTTAAATCTGATAAATCTGTTTAGTAA